GTGACAACTCGCAGTATCCAATTGGATGATGGTTTTTTTTGAAATTTATTTCCATTTTATATTTTATAAACAAATAAATAATCGATTTCGATTATGTGAATGTATGTATATTATGTATGTATATTTGTACATATTGTATAAATGTGTGTAATATGTACATATAATCATTTTAATGCTTTTAAAGTCCCTCCCATCTATTTAAAAATTCAATTTTAACTTTAGTTTTCTTCTTTGCTTTATTTTTGCTTTGTTTCTTTTTTTTTTTCATCCCAAATGTATCTTTACATACCAAACAACATATTTTATTCAATATACATATTTTATACATACATACATACATACATTTAAATCTCTTTAAACAGGTTTTCATCATCTACTTTACATATTTTATAGTTGACTAATACAACTTTATATTTTTATATTTCCATAGGAATAAATAAGTAAAATAATAAAATAATAAAAAAAAAGAAATATCGAAAATCTTCTTAAGATATTCGAAAAACCAGCAAACAGAAAAATAAAATAATAAAATAAAAATACAAAAAAAAATATTCATTTTTAACGATCTAAGAATTCCATACTTGGAGCACATTATAATCACATGATATTCATACCTACTTACTTACATACTTACATACTAAGGGATACACACACGTTTGTAATATGCTAAATAGGCTCCGCTCATGTCAAATTATACAAAATTATTTTTTGTTGTTTCTTCTTTTTTTCTTTTCTTATTTTATGTAAAATAATTTTATGTTCGAATATATTTTTTTGTTTTGATTTTGTTATTATTTTTTCGTGAATTGAGGAGTTTGTTATGTGCCTCCCACTTAATAATTTAGTATAGATGTATTATAGATTCATTTACAAAAAAAAAAAAATAAAAATGAAAAGTTGGTTGATTGGCAAGTCATAGAAATTATGAAAAATGTGGGAATATTTTATTTGCTCAATTATTTTATTTACAGTTATTCCTCTATAGTAGCGGATAAAAAGGTTCCGACCATAATAAATATGAGTTCGTATAAATCAATGTTTCATTAGTTTTATATGATAGCATTGGATGAACATTCTATTTTCAAATATCAAACAAAGTTCATATGGACACTTGCAAATTAATTTTTCGGCAAACCAAAAGCCATGAACAATTTTTGGTGCAGAATGAGCTGAAATGGGTATAAAAAATTTTCAGTTGTTATTTCGTGAATGGTATATTTACTTTGATATGGTGTTTATTTAATCACTTGAAGGGGTCGCCTAAGGTATATACGTTTTTGCTTAACGTAAAATTCTGCGCTTATTTAGACATGTCCGTGCGATCGTCCGTCCGAACGAACGATAACTTAAAAACGAATAGAAAAAATTCACCAAACTCTCAAAAAAGAAATTTGTTTTTTGTCGGGGACGGATCTATGGCAATTGGAACGATTCGGACGAAGGATTCGGGTAAGTGCCACACAACCCTGAGAGATGATTTTAAATATTGAAAAAAATAATAAAGTTAAATTAATGAAACTTGGCAATTACGTGTCAGACCTGTTCTTGAAGCTTTTGTGGAAAGACTTAAAAGGTTCAAGTAAGTGCCATATAATTTCAAAAGCTAATTTGATATATTCAGGAAAATAATAAAGTTAGATTTATGAAACTGAACAGTCATGCGCCTAATTATTTGTCAGAAATTTTTAATATTGTCAAGGTGCAAGGCATAGGATATAATTCAGTCGGCTCAAATCGACTAAAACAGTTTAAAATGTTATTTTTCGAAAAATTTATTTGAAACGAACTTTCACTCAAAATCAAATTCGTATTCACTCAGAATTATTTTAATTAATTTGGTTCTTTGAACATTTTTCAACAAACTTGGGAATTTGTTTAGGAGCCTTAAATATTTTTGAACAAAAATTATGAATCTTTTCAGATAATGACAACGGGAAATCAATTTGAAAAGGTTTGTATGTAGATGAATATAAAAAATATATTGAACAGAAGTTCAAATTTTAATTAACAAAAGTTCGACTCAACTTTGACTATTTTTAAATTTAAAGAAACCGAATGAATTAGTGGACCACGCTCTTTATTTGCATAGTGAAAATTTTCGCTTTACTTTACATAAATTCGCCGCAAGTTCATAAGACATAAAAAACATAAGAAATGTGATTGGGTCACTATACTAATTACCCTATATGAGAAGCATAATATTTGCTTAATTTTAGTTTTGAATGGATTTCAAAGAATACTCCTGATTTTATTTTTATTTTCCACTATAATATCAATACATACTGTTGCCAACATCTTTAAATTAAAAAAAAATTTTTTCGAATTTTATTGCGTGTTTGTTTTTTTATGCCTGGTGCTGTGTTACTCGTTTTTTTAACTCTCGTTATTTTAATGAGACATTTTATTTGCTTTTGAATCGCAATCTTTTATACGAAACTATTAAAGTTTTATGGTATTGCTATATTGAATTTTTATTCGAAATTTTTTTTTTCTTCACATATTTTTATCTTATAGATATTACTTTTTGAGTTTACTTTTATTGTTTTTTTTTTTTTTGATCTATCATAATTGCTTTTATTTTATAAAAACAATAATAATAATTTCGATGATTATCAAAAGGTGAAAAATGTTCAATTAATCATGCAATTGTAATATTTATTGTTATACGATTTATTACTTATGCTATTTATTATTTGAATTTTTTAAATATATTCTTTTTCCATTTCAATTTTCATTCAAAATATTTAATATAAAAAAAAAAATAATAAATTTAAATTGGAAAATAAATAAAAATGGTGTTAATGATTTATTGACACACAATATATATATATATATACAGTGCATGTATATATATATTGGTTTTGTAAACAGAAAATGTCATAATTTTGAAATATAGCAAAGTCACGATAAAAATTTTTTCGAAATATTTCACGTGAAATTAAAATCGAATTTAGTTTTTTAAAAGAATTCATTTAAAATCTAATTTGCAGTTGAATCTAAAAATTGGAGGATTTAAGAATGAAATTCATATATACTTTTGATATTATACATACATTTTTATAAATTATTTCTCTTCTTTGTTCCAAATTATGCCCAAGTTTACATAATATTTAAGTTGCATGTCATTTCAAGAAACTTATTTCTGTCATACAACAATTTCCATTTCTTTCTTTTAGATTCAATTATTTTTTTCTTCAAGATGATTCAATTCAATTATTTATTTACAATTTAAATTATACATATTTGACTACCTGCTCTAAATAAGTTATTCCGTCGGATGAATTATATTGTAATCGAAATGAGGCATACACACCTAGTTTAGAGTCGGAAAATGTATACAATAAAAATAAAGTTATATGATTTACTCTTTTTATCTTCTATGCAGGCACTCTTAACATAAAAATAATTAATAATTTGCAAATATCATTGCATTTTATGTAACTCATGTGGAACTTAAATTTAAAAAAAAAACACTAATGAAAAAATTTATCTCACTAATACAAAGATCAATAATTAAATTTTAAAATCCATCATAATATATTTTAAAATTAAGTAATTTTATCAAAAATACTAAAGCAATGTCAAAAATCACTTGAGAGCATGAATGAAAAATGCACACAAAGCACATAAAAAGAAGAGAGAAAAACGATAAATAAAATTTTCCATATACACACTTTTTGCACCAGATTTCCCACTATAGAGTAAATGTGGATTTTCGAATATTTTTGATCTTTTATACTCTCACATGATCATTCGAATACCTTGATAATCTCTATTTAAATTCTCTTTTATATTAAATTTTTATTCCACTTTATTTCTCTCTTAATTTTCCACTGGATTTCAATGAATGAAAATCGTGTTTTCCTTTTGTACTCATCTCATGTTCTTATTCATCGCAATAATATTATTCGAGTAAATATTCGAAATTAATTCGAATTTCGAAGTGGGCTTGAAACTGTTTTTTTTTTTTTTTCGAATTACAATAACTTGCTTTGTTTTTTTTAATAAAAGTTTATTTTTTTTAATTTTCTTATTTTCCGTTTTATATTGTATTCGTTTGTAAATGTTGGCTTTTGGTTTGTTATTTCTTTTTGTAGTTTTGAGCCGGTGTTTGTTTCTGATATTTTATTTTCCACCATAAAAATCCAGTCTTACGGTAACTTTATGGCAATAAAGTATCATATTGATATTAAATACGCGAGTGTAATATTAAAATTTTTGTTTTTCTAATTATAGTTTGTATAGAATTAGGTATATGTAGATGGCGCGTGGATAATTTTTAATTATTAGAAAAATTATTTAAAAAAAATAAAAATATTAAAATTTAAAAAAAAAAAATTAATAAATTAAAATTTATTTCGGTTATTGAAAAACTCTTAACAATTTGATGTTTTATTAAAAGAGAAAGAAAAATTTTAATTTTAAAAAAAGAAATAAAATAAAATTTTCCGGCGGTATTTCGAAAATTTTCGAAAATTTGATTGTCAAATTTAATTGAATTTAAATATTATGTGGTGTGAAAAATTTTGTAAATTAAATAAAATTTAATATTAAATTAAAAAAATAAAACTTGAAATTTTTTTTAAAATTATTAAAAATAATAAAAATTTAAAAAAAAAAAATTATTTTAAATTTTTCCTAAAATGATGATAAAATTAAAGAAAAAAAATAAATAATATTATTTATAATATTAAATACATTGTTTTTTTATTAAATTAATGTGCAAATATAAATGTTACTTATATACACATACACCTATACTTATATAAATACTATATAATAGATATAATATAGGTGAATATATTTTATAAAATTCAATTTGATAAGGTTTTGATAAAATTGAATGATAAAGAATTTTTTTTTTTCAATAAATACCCCAAGTACTTGTCAAATAATTTCTATAAAGTACAGTAAAAGAAATTATACATACATATAATCATTATCACCACAAAATATTATTTTAAAATATATACCTACATAAAAACAAAAACAATGTACATATATAACTGTAATATTAAATTTTGTGTTAAAAAATATAAATAAAAAAATATGTTGAAATAATTTAGAGAAAAAATTTTGAAATACACCACACCAAATTTTTTTTGTGGAATAATAATCTAATTCAAATTGTTATAATGTAAGTTGTATTTAAATATTATATAAGGTCTAAATTTTAAAAATATTTTAATAATAAATTATTTAAAAATTTTCCTATTAGTAGAAATTTCTAAAATAAACAATAAATTAATTTTAATTAGGGGGAGGAAAGTACAATCTGCTAACACAAATTCAATTAGTCACAGTGGTGAATTTTGAAAAATGAGTTGGTTTTTAAGTATCAAGAATAGTAAAAATCCATTTTTTCATATGTTCAAATATTTAAGGGCTTGCGTTTGAATCAATTTAAAAGTTAATTTGTTTATTTAATGTTTAAATAGAGCTCGATTGAAATTGTGATTGTAGCGGCGGAGAGAAGATGTCTATAGTTATTCAAAATTACCATTAACTTAGTCTTTTTAAATAGTGCACTTATACCACTTTCAAAAAAACCAGCTCAAATATTACAAATTGTTAATAATTGAGCTGGTTACTATTAAAAATTCCAAAAAGAATATTTTAAATTATTTAAATAAATAATTAAAATTTTATATAAAATTAAATAAAATCACCTAAATTAAATTATGTAAACTAAAATGTAACAAACTTACATACTTGACATAAGTACTACAGGCTTGTACTACAAGTACGATATTTGATATATTTTCACTTGCCGAATGAATTAGGAGTAATTGTTACTATGCATATTTAAAAATGTATATAGTAACAATTACTCTTATATAGATCAATAGATATCGCACTTCTAGAATAGCACAAATATAATACAAAATATGGCAAAAAATGCAAGTATAACATACTGCTAATATAAACTATTCATAGTGAATTTACGATATTAAGTATTCAAGTTAATTTCGTTACAGTAAATTCTGCAAAAAGTTCTTAGAAATTAACATAGTAGATTGAAGATTACATAAGAATAATTTACATAGTGATTGTAAATTTGTAAAACCGAAATAACAGTGCACCGCGACCACTAAATTACGACATACTTTAAATACTTGAAACGTTAAGTCAATACTCTTTCAATATCATTAAAATTTCTTAAAACAAATATTTTGAGTCAATATAAACAGGTTCATTTCAAGATGAAAATGCGTCGAGTTTTCACAAATCAAAAACATTTTAGTAAAATCAAAAAATTACGAAATCAAAATTCTTGACGTTTACAATAGTCGGCCGGCCACACGGCATAATTTTTTTCTTAAAATAAATTTCTATGGAATTAAAAATTAAAAAAAAAAAGTGTTAAGCAAATTGTCACTTGTAAGTTAAATTTCCTATATCAAAACTCGATCGGGCCATAACTTTCATTTTTGATAAATCTATAAAAGTTTCGAACTTAATCAATAAACTTTTAAAAAATTCCATAATTAATCTTTGAATTTCTTTTAAATGCTCTGATAATGCAATAAAAAAAAAAATTTTTTATTTTTGAAAACCTGTTAAGATTACAAAAATTGTATTTTTTCTTCTTAGAATTTTGATTAAATTAAAAAATAGGCCTATCTTTTCCCCCCTATGGAATTCTATTAATACTTTAAATAAAAAATAGTACAATTTCGATTACGAAAACGTTCATGCGATCATATTTTACGATAACCGTTAGATAGACTTATTTCCGAAGACTTTATGACTGAGTTGAAGAACCTTACAAAAAGTGAGTGTATAATCATTTTCGATCCCGTGAATCATAAATACTATATTGTTTTTTTTTTTTTTTGGAAAGTATAGTGTTATTAAATAAGGTGATTTTATCAAATGTTTTCATTTCAAGGCTGAATTTAATTTTTTAAATCACAAATTTAATTTTATTTTATAAATTTTGATTATTTTTGATTAACATGTAATAAAATTTTTCTTCACACCTGCTAAATTATAAGATATCAAAGTGATGTTATAGATCGATTCCAATGAATTCCAATTATAATTCATTAAATACTCGTAATTCAAATTCAAAAATTACGGGGAAATATAAAAAAATGCGTATAGACCTATTTGTGTGCCTATATCGGAAGTAGATTCGGTATTTATTTGGAAATAATAAGGAATTTAAAAATGTAAGAAGGTTTTCTTAGAATTAGTATTCACTGTAAAAAATTTTCGTCGAATCGAAAAAGTTTAATCAATAAATAATCTTCATTAATTTTCAACAGTAACAAACAGTAACAAAAACTCTACGAGAATAAATAGTTAAGCGACCAAGTTGTCAATCAATATGATAGTAAATTTATTAAGAAAATAATGTTTCCCAATAAAAGAAGGCTGCCTCTTGAAAGAATGAGTTTATTGTATAGGGTAAATTTCACTCAATTGGCGAGTAGCTTTGAAGTAAGAAAATGAGAAGTTGTTGTGCTATAGGATTAGTTTTTGCTAAGAGAAAAAAAAATTATTTAATTAATTATAAACGTTGGGATTAATTGTAACAACTCTGTAGATAATTTATTAAAATTAAATGGAACTTTGGTAAATTTTATTAAAATAGAATTTTTAAGTGGTTTAAAATTGAAGGACGTTGTATTGTAGATGATAACGTTAAACATAAGTAATATATATGTATATGTGCAAATATAATTTCGAAAAAGATCTCCTGATCATTTTTATTTAGTGAAATTTTAATAAAAATTCTTTGAAATTTACTTGTAGAAAAAATTAACTTGGGGGCCTGACTAATTGTTTTTTGTTTTTTCTTTCAAGTTTTGAATAGTTTGTACAGCGTATCGAATGATTCTTAAGTGTTCAGGTGTTTTTCAGAAGTTGTTTTTTCGGAAATACATTATCGACAATTCTCTAATGTATGGTGTAAGTTTTATTTAATTTTGTTAAAAGAATTTTATCGAAATGTAGTAATATGCTTTTAGTAGCTATGATTAACAAAAATAAAAAAAAAAACCTTGAAGTCTAAGATTAAATTTAGACTGAATGTTGTCTTGAATATTTATTTTAGTATTTCGTGGAGTAGCCTAGGCTAAAAATAGTCTAAGCATTGGCTAAAAATTCGTACATTTTATCAATGGCATTTTATCAATTTATGTGTGCGCAATGGCGATTTTGTTTATTTGAATTAATTAAGATAAAACAAAACCCTCCTTGATACACTTTTATCAGTGCTGTTATTTATGTGGTAATTGCAGGTGATTTATGGCTTTTGGGAAACGTTTACTGCACTACTGCGGTTCGGCAATTTCAGAAAAATCTATTGGTTTTATTATTTTGTTGCTTTATCTGTGTAAAATCTTAAAAAATATTTCGTCGGATATCTACATAATAGGCTGCACATCCCATTCAATACATTTATGTTCGTCAGTAACTCAAAAACTTTCAGTATCAAGTCTTTAGAAACTCGCAAGGAAAATTTATACTTTTATTTCTCATAGTTCAAAAAAATTGTTAAAATTTAGTGTGGCTCAATGAAGAATGACTCAAGAAAACTGGCTCAACAAAAATAGCTCAATGAAGAAATGTTCTGAAAATTGAAACTTTTTCTATCAAGCCTATTAATCTTATTCCATAGTATAGTGCAACAGTTGAACGATTTTTTTTTTCCGCATAAAAATTTAATTAAAAACGAAAAAAGTGTTGTTACACCGAATACAATTAGGGCAGAAAAAGTGTTCTTAAATGAAACTTGTGATTCGGAATAATAAATGGAAACCACCGAAAACAATGTTATAATAACAAGCCCAAATAAAGTGTTATAGCAATTTATAAACATATTTTATATAAATAAAAAAATTGTTCTATTGTGATATTTACTGCAATTTGAATAAACTTGTTGCAACTCAAAAAAACCATTTATTGCAATTTAGAAAATGGAAACGACGGTACTGATCTAAATCTTTGAAAAACAGGTACATTACAGGTACATCTTGCTGTTAGACAACCGAAAAGAACATAAAGCCTCACCTAAATTCTTAGTCTTGAATGAGAAACCGCTTCGAATTGTGTAGGAGCTCAGATGTTTCATCCACTATCAACGAACAAACAACATTTCAGGTTTATTATGGAGGAAAAATGTCTATAGTAATAGATAAAAGCTGACAAATATTCTAATTTCCGGAAGTTCCAATGCCGGTAATATCCGTACCACTGATTTGGAGCGAAAAATATAATTTTTAGATTACTTAATTTTCACTTAATTTATTTATCACATCATGTGCTTAATTGAATATTGGAAACTTTTCCAGCAATACAAAAACGCTTTTCTAAAACTCTTAAATTGGGCCTTTATCACAACCATTTAGTTTAACAATAACGAAGGACAAAAGTATTGAAAGACCGATTTTTGTAACTGTATTACAGAATAGTACAGTTACTATAACTGTACTACAGAATAGAACAGTTACTGTAACTGTACTACAGAATAGTACAGTTACTGTAACTACTACAGAATAGTACAGTTACTATAACTGTACTACAGAATAGTACAGTTACTAAATCATTAGTTACTAATAGAACAGTCATCAGCTTTTTACAAATTTCATATGGTATATCCGTTCCGGTCATATTCAAGGTCATCGATTAACTTTCTTAACTTGTGTATTTATTCCAATAATAACACACACATTCACGTCATATTAATCAAATATAAAATTATTTAAAGTACATGTGTACACGATCGTAATGCCTAAACTAATAATGGGAATTTTTTTTTTTTAATTTTTTTACACACAACACGTACATAATTTTCTATTTATTTATTCATTTATTTGCATATTGATAATTATAGATAAATTAATAATAAAAAAAAAAAATAAAAATTGTTGGAATTATTGATAAGAAATTGAGAATTTCTTTTAAACTTATTACATGTGAACATCACAAGAAAATTTTTATAGAAAAGTATAAGAGTTTCTTGTAATTTTGTTATCTTCACCTGTAAATAAGGTGTATTCAAATATACGAGCTGTAAACTATAACGATTATGTAAGGTGAAATACAAACACATAAGAATTTGTATATATGAACTATAATTATGCATATCTTGATTTATAAGTAAATAAAAGATTATAAGTTAAAAAA